CCTCCTCTGCCGGACTATGGACGCACTCAGTTAGCTAACTACTGAACCAACCAGTATTAAGTACATAAATGAAACCCAGTGCTGCCAGGGCTTCCCTGTGCTGGGAGGTTAACAATAGCATTAACCTGCTCCAAAATACTCCAGAGTTGGAGAAAAACAACTTGCCTACCTTCTGCTCCTGCAGCTGAACTTCTCCCAAGCCACCCATGCAGGTCATACATCTTTTGCTAAAGCAGCTACTCTGACTACTTGCCCTCAATGTCTGAGGCCAGCTACAAAGAACCTATTGAGCATGCCCAGAAACTTATGGGTGTGAAATGCTAACTGTGCATCTGCCTAACAACAGTAGCCCAGACACAACTCATTCCTCCTTCCCCTCTAGCTTCCTTAATGAGATATCTCCCTATTAGCCACGAGGATTACACTTGTACCTCCCCTAATGGAAACTTAGGGAGATGACATGCTCCCATGGAAAGAGCACTGGCTGGGGGACAGAAGACCTAGGTTCTAGTTGTAGCAGTTCCACTGACTTGCAGTGTGACTTTAGGCAAGTTGCTTCATTTCTCAGTTTTTCCATTTGTAAAATATGGATACTTGCCCACTTTTGTAAAGAGCTTTGTGATCTGTGGCTTAAAAGTGCTGTAAGAAGATAGGTTTCAGAGTAGCAGCCGTGTTAGTCTGTATCCGCAAAAAGAAAAGGAGGACTTGTGGCACCTTAGAGACTAACAAATTTACTTGAGCATTTATTTGCTCAAATAAATTTGTTAGTCTCTAAGGTGCCACAAGTCCTCCTTTTCTTTTTGTAAGAAGAGAGTATCATAGAATCATAGAATAGAATCATAGAATATCAGGGTTGGAAGGGACCCCTGAAGGTCATCTAGTCCAACCCCCTGCTCGAAGCAGGACCAATTCCCAGTTAAATCATCCCAGCCAGGGCTTTGTCAAGCCTGACCTTAAAAACCTCTAAGGAAGGAGATTCTACCACCTCCCTAGGTAACGCATTCCAGTGTTTCACCACCCTCTTAGTGAAAAAGTTTTTCCTAATATCCAATCTAAACCTCCCCCACTGCAACTTGAGACCATTACTCCTCGTTCTGTCATCTGCTACCATTGAGAACAGTCTAGAGCCATCCTCTTTGGAACCCCCTTTCAGGTAGTTGAAAGCAGCTATCAAATCCCCCCTCATTCTTCTCTTCTGCAGGCTAAACAATCCCAGCTCCCTCAGCCTCTCCTCATAAGTCATGTGTTCTAGACCCCTAATCATTTCTGTTGCCCTTCGCTGGACTCTCTCCAATTTATCCACATCCTTCTTGTAGTGTGGGGCCCAAAACTGGACACAGTACTCCAGATGAGGCTTCACCAATGTCGAATAGAGGGGAACGATCACGTCCCTCGATCTGCTCGCTATGCCCCTACTTATACATCCCAAAATGCCATTGGCCTTCTTGGCAACAAGGGCACACTGCTGACTCATATCCAGCTTCTTGTCCACTGTCACCCCTAGGTCCTTTTCCGCAGAACTGCTGCCTAGCCATTCGGCCCCTAGTCTGTAGCGGTGCATTGGATTCTTCCGTCCTAAGTGCAGGACCCAGCACTTATCCTTATTGAACCTCATCAGATTTCTTTTGGCCCAATCCTCCAATTTGTCTAGGTCCTTCTGTATCCTATCCCTCCCCTCCAGCGTATCTACCACTCCTCCCAGTTTAGTATCATCCGCAAATTTGCTGAGAGTGCAATCCACACCATCCTCCAGATCATTTATGAAGATATTGAACAAAACCGGCCCCAGAACCGACCCCTGGGGCACTCCACTTGATACCAGCTGCCAACTAGACATGGAGCCATTGATCACTACCCGTTGAGCCCAACACTCTAGCCAGCTTTCTACCCACCTCATAGTGCATTCATCCAGCCAATACTTCCTTAACTTGCTGACAAGAATACTGTGGGAGACCGTGTCAAAAGCTTTGCTAAAGTCAAGAAACAATACATCCACTGCTTTCCCTTCATCCACAGAACCAGTAATCTCATCATAGAAGGCGATTAGATTAGTCAGGCATGACCTTCCCTTGGTGAATCCATGCTGGCTGTTCCCGATCACTTTCCTCTCATGCAAGTGCTTCAGGATTGATTCTTTGAGGACCTGCTCCATGATTTTTCCAGGGACTGAGGTGAGGCTGACTGGCCTGTAGTTCCCTGGATCCTCCTTCTTCCCTTTTTTATTGAGTAACTCTCATATTACTAGTAGCCAAAAGCCTGTGCTGTCTCATGAGTGGGGCAGTGGGGCCAAGTAATCCACTATCTGTGCAGTCTCCCTCGTACAACTAATGAAATTGTTGCCTGCAAATTAGCTGTAGAGTAAGGATGGTGATTGCTTGATTTACCTCTGATGTCAAAATGACTGAGAACTTAAAAACTAGACTGTAATAGACCATGAATCCTAGTGATGACTTAATGTGGTGATATTCTGAACAAAAAGAGCTTTCAGCCATGCTTGTAGCTGTTTGGCTTCAGAGTGACCCAAGAGAGTGAGTGGCAATACTGCAGTCACTTATATAGATTGAGGTGGAGGCTGAGAGAAGCAAAGAAGAATCTCAACTGAAGGAAAATTGGGACAAGGTGCCCTGGGGTGTGTGTACTTTCTAGTTTTGGGGATTCTCATAGACAGCCTGTTGTCACTGGGTGATGTCCTCTTTGAGCCAAGCAAAGAAAGAATCACTACTAAGGATTTGACATTGATCATTAAATAGCAAGCTTTGGCTTGATTAGGTCTTAAAACTTCTTTTTTCTTAATGTTTCTCCAGTGTTGCTTCCACCACTGTCCAGGAGGGAGATGGGGGAATATCACACTGCAGGATACGTCTTCATCCAGTCATTGTCTAAGGCCAGAAATAAGCTGTTGAATGTCTCCTGAGGATGCAATGCACACAAAAAAATCACCCTTTCCCATTTGCTTTTTCTTTTTGGTGTTCCTGAAGTTGGTTGCCTGCAATCAACAGCTGAAGGCCCAGACATCACCAGGGGATGGTAAAGAGCAAAAAAGTCCTTTAAACACACCACCCATACAACACTCTTACTTCTGGGTTTGCGCTTCCTAGATTTTTGGTCCTCTTTGGCAGCAGTAGTAGGGTAGAGTGTAAGCCAGACTCCATATTAGCGCTCACAAACCCCTCTTTTAGGTTATATACACACACCCCTGTCCAGATGTTCCATGCTAGTTTCCGCTTGATCGTGGCGAGCAGAGGAGCTCCCTGCTGCTCTTTGCTATCAACAGACCACCATACCTTTTTATTGTTTTGGCCTGTTCCTACTCAGTGTCCAGCTGCTTTAAGATTCCTGTGGTGTGGTGTTCAGTGCTTCAGCATACCTGCTGAAGTGGAGCTGCAGGGCATCAGCTTCAGTGCTCCAGCACCTCCAAGCCCTCAGTGTTCCAGTGTTTTATGACTTCAGCAAACTTGTGGTCTCTAGACTTTGGCCTGTTCTGGTGCCCTGGCACCCTGAAGCCTGTTTTGGTGGTTTGCCACCTTGAAGCCTTCACTCATTTTATCAGTTTTTCTTATATACAGAATGTCCTTGAAAGGGAAGGATACAAGCTCTTCAGCTTCAAGAACTGCCCCTATGACTGAACAGTGTCAAGAACAGATGACCACATAAGGTGCATTCTCTGCATTCTCTACAGTATATGGGGGAGTAGGATCAGTGTGTGCATCATATTCCCACAGAGGTAGCCCTCTACAATCAAGAAACATGAGGAGTGGCTCTTTCTTTGGGACATCTCAGAGACTCCCGGAAGTCGGTCAAGAGAAGTGCTGTGAAGGACAAGGCCTTGAAGTGTCAGCCTGAGTTGGCCAGGACTGGAGGGATCTGGGACCCAGTACTAGTGCCACTTGTGCAATTGCAGACGTGGCCTCATGAGCAAACTCCAGTGGGGTTGCCTTACTACTGAAGCACCCAGAACACTCAACTGAGGCGCTGGAGGCCAAGATGGGTTCTTTCTGGCTCATGCATCATTATCAATAATAAAGACTCAGCATGGTATATCTTATGCAACCCCCTCAGTTTCTTCTTTCATTTTGGTTGAGTGGCTACAACTGAGGCCAGAATTTGGCCCTATATTTGAAATGTAATGAGAAATTCTGTTGATCTGTGACCCTGAATAGACTTCAATTCATGCTCTCTCAGTAGTGTTAGCTCTGCAGAGCCAACAAGAAGAAAAAAAAGGGAAAAATGGGGGGTTTCTTGGTTCGTTTGTTTTTTTGGCCAGGGAAGGAGGCAGTTACAAAACTGAATACACACAAGGAGCAGATATGTTAAGTGCAAAAGAAACATCTTCAAATAGTCACTTTTCAGAGTGGGACCACATTTAAATTCTACCTCAATACCTCTTTCCAGTTTAAATAGTTTTCTCAAAGCTCACACACTGCTGGGATTGTAATAAAACATTTCCTATTCTCGAATCACGTGTTTAGGAATTTTGTTCTGTGGAGGATCTGGTCTCTGAGCTGCAGGGAAAGCTTCATCAATGAACTTACCAATGACACTCAAGTGCAACAAGAGAGCCAAAGTAAGTCTTGGAAGACAGAGAGTTGACTAAGAAGGGAGAGGTTTCTTCCAGCTTGGGATAAAAGGGGAAGCAGCACTTGTGGCTGATCTTCTCTCTGCCTCTCTTGAATGTACTGAAACTTGAGAGGTATCCCTTCTGTCCTGCCCATCTGGGAATGGGAGCAAAAATTTACTACATCTTTGAGAAAAGTGTGCTGTCTCTGAGTACTGTGTGGCTGTAATTAGTGTTAGTCTCCTCCCACTGACAGTTTCAGTTCCAAGGCGTTCCAAACTGACCAGTCTGTAAGTGCACCGTTTATATGTAGCCATTAAATAAGTGGATATTTGGCAGTATGTAAATGGAAGACACTAAATCTGTAGTGTATGAGTATGGAGTGGAAAGGGGTAATTTTAACTATGGGATCCCAAGTCACTCTTATTTTAAAAATTACTAAAACTATTTAGAATAGCAGCTGTGTTAGTCTGTATCCGCAAAAAGAACAGGAGTACTTGTGGCACCTTGGAGACTAACAAATTTATTTGAGCATAAGCTTTCATGGGCTACAGCCCACTTCATCTGATGCATATAATGGAACATATAGTAAGAGGATATATATATACATACAGAGAATCATGAAAAGGTGGGAGTTGCCATACAAACTGTAAGAGGCTAATTAATTAAGATGAGCTATTATCAGCATGAGAAAAAATTTTGTAGTGATAATCAAGATGGCCCATTTAGACAGTTGACAAGAACGTGTGAGGATACTTAACATGGGGAAATAGATTCAATATGTGTAATGACCCAGCCACTCCCAGTCTCTATTCAAACCCAAGTTAATGGTATCTAGTTTGCATATTAATTCAGGATCAGCAGTTTCTCTTTGGAGTCTGTTTTTGAAGTTTTTCTGTTGCAAAATTGCCATCCTTAAGTCTGGTACTGAACGGCCAGAACTATTTAGTTTAGAGAAACAAGAAATGGTTGGCAGCTCTTCCAATTGTTTCTCTTACTGCCGACTTAGGGGTGTGGCCCCCACTATTTTAGTCATGGTTCTTTTACATACCTTAGGGAACACCTACGCAGAAAGTCCATTATTAACCATGGCTATTTTATTATTGAAGCAAGGAAAAGAAAACTTTAAACAAGACAAAACACAACTTCTGTCACAATCTTTTCTGTCTTTGTCTCTGTGGAGCAGAGAGCTTGAAGCAGAGATTACACCTTTGAGTGGATTGCCTCCTGGGGGCATTCTTTGTTTGGTAAAGTAAGATCAGAATATATTGATTCCCCAAATTATTGTGAATTCAGTTTTAGTATCTTATTACATACTCAAACTGTTTATAATTCTGCAAAATAATTTGTTTAACGGCAGGATGGGAAACCAATCTACTACATCCTATGAAGATGAAGAAAAGTCAGTTACTTAGAAGAAGTCATTTAAGAAACTGTCTTGAGAGGCCAATTGATGAATATTAATAATCTTAAATCTAATTAAGTCTTATTTCTTTGTTTAGCTCCTGTCTCCTCTCCAGGAACACCTGGTCTAGCCACTGGGCAACTAGTAGGAGAAACATAGTATGGTCAGTTACAACAATATTTCCATAGTCCAGTAAAATCATTATATGAATTTAAATCTACAATCTTGGCAGTTTCTTAGTTAACTTTCTCTCACCAATTCACACTGATGTTTTGGGGAGGCTCTCCTTAGCATGGTTTCTTCTTGGGTCTTCTCTTTCTTTTCTTATATGGCAGTGGCAGCTTGTTTGTAGAGATGAACAGACTGAATTGTGATATGCTTGCTATCTGAGCAGAGGTGCTTGTTGCTGAGGGTTGCTGTCTAAGCATAGGTTTTTAAAAAAAATACTTTTCTCATTCCTATTTCCAAGAAATTATAGGAAAACACACCTCTTTCAAGCTGATTTAGATCCATGGTTGGTTGGTGTCACTTTCATTGGTTGCATGCCTTTCGGGTTTGCTTAGGTGACACCTTCAGTTTCTGAATATACAACCTGCCTAAAGAATATGCTGCATTTCTTTAATTACCTTTGTTCTTCTTGTGGCAGGAAAGCATCAGAGAACTTTTAAAGTTAGGGAGAATTAAAACTTTCTATTTGGTCCATTTTCTGAGATACTCTTCCAATTTTATTAGCATTTGACAGGAAATGAAATTCTGTTTTCAAAAAGTTGAAACACTCCTATTCTTTTATATAAAGGTTTTAGTTCTCATAACAGTCTTTGTAAATTAAATAACTCTTAAAAATGTTTAGTTTTAAATAATTAAAATTGCTGATTCTTATAGCAATTTTTGGAGAGATGATTCTTGTCTTCCTGAGTTGAGTGAGATTTGCTTATACACTGCTGTTACCTATGGTTTTCAGAACCCGCAGCAGTGGTAACTTAACTGCTTAACTCCAGGTGGTGTCAGGAGTGAATCAGTGGGAACACAGCAATTCCGTCTGATAAAAGATTAATGCAAGTAAGTGTGCTGTACCTAAGAGTATGTCTACACTACGAAATTAGGTCAATCTTATAGAAGTCAATTTTTAGAAATTGATTTTATACAATCGATTGCGTATGTCCACACAAAGCGCATTAAGTCGGTAGAGTGAGTCCTCACTACCGTGGCTAGCGTCGACTTTCAGAGTGTTGCACTGTGGGTAGCTATTCCACAGTTCCTGCAGTCTCCGCTGCCCATTGGAATTCTGGATTGAGCTCCCAATGCCTGATGGGGCAAAAACATTGTCATGGGTGGTTTTGGGTACGTGTCGTCAGTCACCCCTCCTTCCATAAAAGCAATGGCAGACAATCATTTTGCCCTTTTTTCCATGCAGTCGCCATACTGCTGTCAGCAGATGGTGCAGTAGGACTGCTAACCATCATCGTCCTCCACCATCATCGTCGTCATCCACCGCTTCTGCTGCAACTCTGCTCTCCTAGTGCCATGAATTCACCTCACAGTTCCTCTCGTCGATCTGTATAAATATCTATTCTCATGGCATCCGTCGTCATCCACTGCTTCTGCAGCAACTCTGCTCTCCTGCAGATGCCATACCACGGCAAGCATGGAGCCCGCTCAACTCACTGCTGCTGTTGTGAGCATTGCAAACACCTCGCGCATTATCCTTCAGTATGTGCAGAATGTGCAAAAGCAGGTGAGGAGGCGACGACAGCACGATCATGATAGTGATGAGGACATGGACACAGACTTCTCTCAAAGCATGCGCCCTGGCAATTTGGACATCATGATGGTAATGGGGCAGGTTCATGCCATGGAATGCCAATTCTGGGCCCAGGAAACAAGCACAGACTGTTGGGACCACATAGTGTTGCAGGTCTGGGATGATTCCCAGTGGCTCCGAAACTTTTGCATGCGTAAGGGCACTTTCATGGAACTTTGACTTGCTTTCCCCTGCCCTGAAGCACAAGAATACCAAGATGAGAGCAGCCTTCACAGTTGAGAAGCGAGTGGCGATAGCCCTCTGGAAGCTTGCAATGCCAGACAGCTATCGGTCAGTCAGGAATCAATTTGGAATGGGTAAATCTACTGTGGGGGCTGCTGTGATCCAGGTAACCAACGCAATCATTGAGCTGCTGCTATCAAGGGTAGTGACTCTGGGAAATGTGCAGGTCATAGTGGATGGCTTTGCTGCAATGAGGTTCCCTAACTGTGGTGGGGCAATAGAAGGAATGCATATCCCTATCTTGGGACCAGACCACCGTGGCAGCCAGTACATAAACCGCAAGGGGTACTTTTCAATGGTGCTGCAAGCACTGGTGGATCACAAGGGACATTTCACCGACGTCAACGTGGGATCACCAGGAAAGGTGCATGACGCTCACATCTTCAGGAATTCTGGTCCATTTGAACAGCTTCAGGAAGGAACTTACTTCCCAGACCAGAAAATTACCATTGGGGATGTTGAAATGCCTATAGTTATCCTTGGTGACCCAGTCTACCCCTTAATGCCATGGCTCATGAAGCCATACACAGGTACCCACGACAGTAGTAAGGAGCAGTTCAACTATAGGCTGAGCAAGTGCAGAATGGTGGTAGAATGTGCATTTGGATGTTTAAAAGCTCGCTGATGGAGTTTACTGACTAGGTTAGACCTCAGTGAAACCAATATTCCCATTGTTATTGCTGCTTGTTGTGTGCTCCACAATATCTGTGAGAGTAAGGGGGAGACGTTTATGGCGGGGTGGGAGGTTGAGGCAAATCGCCTGTCGGCCGATTACACACAGCCAGACACCAGGGCGATTAGAAGAGCACAGCTGGGCGCCGTGCACATCAGAGAAGCTTTGAAAACCAGTTTCATGACTGGTCAGGCTATGGTGTGACAGTTCTGTTTGTTTCTCCTTGATGAAAACCCACCCCCTTGGTTGACTCTACTTCCCTGTAAGCCAACCAACCTCCCCCCTTCGATCACCACTTTCAGAGGCAATAAAGTCATTATTGTTTTAAAATCATGCATTCTTTATTAATTCATCACACAAATAGGGAGAAAACTCGCAAGGTAGCCCGGGAGGGTTGGGTGAGGAGGGCAGCATCGGGTTGGGTGGTGGATGAGGGGAGGCGGGAAGGACAAGGCCACACTACAGTTCAGAACTTATTGAATGCCAGCCTTCGGTTTCTTGTGCAATCCTCTAGGGTGGAGTGGCTGGGTGCCCATAGCCTCTCCCCCTTCCCCCGCATTCTTGGGCATCTGGGTGAGGAGGATATGGAACTTGGGGAGGAGGGCACGCGGTTATACAGGGGCTGCAGTGGCGGTCTGTGCTCCTGCTGCCTTTCCTGCAGCTCCACCAGATGCCCAAACATGTCAGTTTGCTCCCCCATTAGGCTCAGCATCACGCTCCTGCCTCCTTTCATCGCGCTCCTGCCTCCTCACATCATGCTCATTTAATGCGTTCCTGGACTCGGCCATTTTTTGCCTCCATGCATTCTGCTGACCTCTTTCAGTGTGGGAGGACTGCATGAGCTCTGAGAGCATTTCATCATGAGTGCGTTTTTTTTCGCCTTCTAATCTGAGCTAGCCTATGGGGCGGAGGTGTTAGGGGGAGCGTAGAAACATTTTCAGCTGAGGGAGGAAAAAATGGAGAGTAGTATTTAAAAAGATACATTTTAGAGAACAAAGGAAAGACTATTTCACACTGAATCAAGCGATTCACAGTACATAGCACATGTGCTTTTGGTACAAGGTTGCATTTTGCCTCTTATATTGAGTGCCTGCCAGTTTGGTGTGAGACATCACACACGCTCAGCTGGGCAACAGAATTTGGCTTGCAGGCAGCCGTGGTAAGGCAAAGGGTTTCGGCTTCTTCAACCTTCATAACATGTGGGAATGGTTTCAAACAGCAGTGCCCTCCTTTCCCATACCAAGCAAAGCCTGTTGGGTTGGCCATTTAAAAGGAGGGGCTGTGGTTTTAGGGTGAATGTGCAGCACAACCCCCCCCCCAGTTCTCTGGGATGATCGCTTCACCCCACCACCCAATGCATGGCTAGTATCAGGGAAGATCCCTGTCAGCCAAAAGTGACCAGCTCAGCATGAATGGGCCTCCCCGCACCGCATGGCTAACAGCGGGGATGATTTCTTTTCAGCCAAAGGCAAACAGCCCAGCAGGAATGGGCATCTCTGAATGTCCCCTTAAACAAATTTCCCGTATTTCAACCAGGTGACCATGAATTATATCGCTCTCCTGAGACTAACACAGAGAGTACCTCCAGGAGAGCTTCATGAAGATGTTCCTGGAGGATTTTGGCTTCATCCCCAGACATGTTAACAGACTTTTCCAGTAGCTATACTGGCCGAGAATGCATCCCAAGTCTTCAGGGCAAATTAATCATTAAACACGCTTGCTTTTAAACCCTGCATTATATTTACAAAGGTACACTCACCAGAGGTGCCTCCTCTGGCTTCATGGTCCAGGAGCCCACCTTGGGAGGGTTGGGAGGGTATTGGCTCCAGGGTGATGAACAGTTCCAGCTGCCAGGAAGGAGGGATGCTCCGCTTGCCTGCTGTGCGTTATCCTCAACCTTTTCCTCCTCCTCATCTTCCTCATCCACAAAATCCTCATGCCTGTTGCATGAGACTTCCCCCTTGCAGGTGTCCATGGACAGTAGTTGGGAAGTGATAGGGGCTCCCCCTGGAATTGCATTCAGCTCATCATAGAAGCAGCATGTATGAGACTCTGACCCAGAGCAACTGTTTGCATCCTTTGTTTTTTGGTAGGCTTGCCTCAGCTCCTTAACTTTCCTGTGGCACTGCTGTGTATCCCTGTTGTAGCCTCTATCCATTATGCCCTTGGAGATTTTGGCAAATATATTGGCATTTTGTCTCTTGGAACAGAGTTCTGCCTGCATGGATTCTTCTCCCCATACAGCGATCCGATCCAGTACCTCCCGTTCAGTCCATGCTGGAGCTCTTTTGAGATTCTGGGACTCCATGGTCACCTGTGCTGACCAGATTGCCACGCTGGCCAAACAGGAAATGAAATTCAAAAGTTCCCAGGGCTTTTCCTGTCTACCTGGCCAGTGCCTCTGAGTTGAGAGTGCTGTCCAGAGCGGTCACAATGGAGCACTCTCGGGTAGCTCCCAGAGGCCAATACCGTCAAATTCAGTCCACGCTACCCCAAATTCGACCCAGCCAGATCAATTTTATCATTCCTCCCCTCGCTGGGGAGGAGTACAGAAATCAATTTTAAGAGCCCTTTAAGTCGACAAAACAGGCTTGGTCATGTGGTCGGGTGCAGGGTTAAATCGACCTAATGCTGCTAAATTCGACCTAAACTCGTAGTGTAGACCTGGGCTAAAACTGCAGTTCATTAGATTTGAGCACACACAGACATAAGCAATAAGTTTAGAACATCCCAGATATTTACCTAAAATCTGGAACAGTATTGAGCAGCAGATACGGAGTGGCCAGTTGCTCACCTGCTGGGGAAAAAAAGTGTCAGGAAAAACATCTCTTAAGATGGCTTCAGAGGACTGCTCCAAAGTACACTCTATAGCAGTGGTTCTCAAACTTTTGTACTGGTGACCCCTTTCACATAGCAAGCCTCTGAGTGCGACCCCCTTATACATTAAAACCACTTTTTTACATATTGAACACCATTATAAATGCTGGAGGAAAAGCAGGGTTTGGGGTGGAGCCTGACAGCTCGCAATCCCACATGTAATAACCACACAACCTCCTGAGGGGTCCCGACTCCCAGTTTGAGAACCCCTGTTCTATAGCTAATCCTTTTTATAACTAACTTCTACAAAACACATAGGTTATAATGACCCTTTCTGGATCATCACTTTTACTAATTTTCAATAACCTTCTAATACCAGAGGAGCTCAGACTCAAGGTTTTCCATCCACTTATCTCTTTCAGTCTCAATTATTTACTTTCTTTCCCCTCCTCCCATTCTGATTAACAGAAATTGCCAGCTATTTTTGATCTTGCCTCTAAAAGCCTGTTTTCCAATTAACTCTGTACTATGTGGTGTTCTATTTTATTAATTGATGGTGGCTGAATGCGTATAATATGCTTACAATTGGCTTGATCACATTCTGGGATACACACACCCCTCAAATCCAGGGTAACACTGGCAGTAATTAACTACTCATCAATATAAATATTCTATACTTAAATGGCTTCTTGCATTAGTAATTAGGTTAGCAAGACCATTAGCTTGATGTCCCATCATGGACTTATTTTACTGTTTGCATAGCAATTATATTAGGAGCTCTGCACTACTTAGCCAACATATTTGCAAGTGTGCATTTCACAAATGTTTCCTATTTCAACATTTCAGAAATAAACAAAAGGTTTAAACATCTCCAACTTCATATTTTTCTCTAAAACACAAGTGGAGGTTTTTCTTTGAAAAGAAAAGGGGGGTTGGCAGGGCTTGCTTTACTCCTAGGTTTATTGCTCTGATAACACACCCTACATTCCTTTTATAATTAGGTCCCTTCCTAAAACAAGAATGGTTTCATGGCTAATGAGGTTATCTTCTTGGTGTTTGCTTGTTCTTGAGACACAAAATAGAAATCTTCTGGAATTTCTTAGATTAGCTTTAACATTTTGTAACATAACTATCTACATTTATGTACTGTTATATTTAAGCATCTTGGCTATAATGTACCTGTAACTATTCAGTAAAGGCACAAATAAGTTTGTAATGACCTAATATTAAAAATGTTATAATTTGTATTATCATTCTTGCATCAGTTATGAGGTCTGTCCCCTACAGGAGATGATGATAGCTGCCTGCAATAGGATGTCATTGTAGATACAAGATTGTGATGGTGTCTTGGCTTGAGGCTGATTCATAGTGAAATGGTTCTGTTAATAGTATAAAGAAACCTAGGTTAAAATCGGATCTGTTTTACACAAATGTAAATCTGGAATGATTTCATTGCAATCAATAGAGTTTCTGCAAATTCACCTACAAAAACTTTAAGGGGCAGTTATGGTTGCTGCGGCACAACAGGACTTCTTCTGCTTGTGCCTTTCCAGAAGTCAAGACATCAAAACCCCAGACTCAAACACTGGAAAACCAGGAAATGTTGCAGCAGGGTCCAGCCATATATCCCTTAACAGCATCTAGCATTACAACAAAAAGCAACCTCAAATGTTGGGGAAAAAACAGGAAATGTTCAGTTGAAATCCTGCCATGTATCCCTTAAGAATGTTAACAGTACAACAAAAAGCAAATCACATACCTAAACCTTAACTGTGCTTTTCCTGGTTTACTCTTCCCATACAACACACCAAGACAAACTTAATTCTGCCCTGAGGGGGGATACTGTAAGGGTCTCACTACATTACAGTACCTTGTCCCTCCATAACAAACATTCATTTTGTGACGGTCCAATTATTGATTGGACTGATGCAATGTGACCCAAAGTATCATGACACTCAGATCTACTTGTCTCCAATATGATGGCTTATGGGAGGGTAGAGTTAAGGTGGTCTTGGTATGTGATGTGGGGAGAATCATACTTAGCTACTGGAGAAAAAACCCTTTGTCTTATATCTGTAGGCATCTAAGTCTCAGGGTGAAAGCCTCTCAGCATCTGACTGCAGAAAGGCTGCTGATGGGCTCTCCCCTCATTGTAGGGCCAGATCATTGTGCTGTCAAGCTTAATTTGGGAGGGCTTCTCTTTGGCCTCAGATGACCTAGAGGATTTATTTGATGCTAAGCACATGTCCACTGTAGAGAAACTCTAGGATAGTTACTTCTTGGGGACAGAGCCTATCTTTTCATGTTTCTTACAGTAGCTTAATATACACATCAGTGACTTAATTTCTGTAATGTTTTATCTGGTGAATCAAGGTGACAATGAACTAGGAATTTCCATGACCTCTGGTCAAACAAATTCTTTCTGGACACAAATAATTATGCCCTTGGGGATACAGGCCCTATTTTGTGGTGGGATTCTGCTTGTTAGTTAACAGAATTTGTTCTTTGGGTTAAATTAAACATTTCCCATTTCATTTTTAGGCCTTGGTGAGTTGATTGATGACTATCATCCAACAGCATTGCCTCAGTTTAGCAATTTCAATGAAGCAGTTCAAGACCCAACAAGGAACATGTGAAACAATTAATCCACAAAAACACCTTGTCTACATACAATAGAAATAACCAAAATAACTAAACTGGTTTTTAATTCACAGCTCTAGTTATTTTGGGTGTTGGATGCTTATTTCAGATTAAGAGACTTGCTCATTTAAACAAAATAATTTAAACAATTAATTTAAACAAATCTTTTAAATCAAAGTAGGAAACTCTTAATCCGGAATGTGTCCATACATAGATCTGCATTGAACTAACTAGAGCTGTAAGTAAAAACAGACTTAGTTATTGTAGTTCAAATTTGTGTGACTTCAGAAAATAGTTTTTGAGACTGTATCACTGCTCACAAGTCCACTGCTATGGCTTTGTGAGCGCCCTGCCCCCACTCCATATTTAGGGAGATGTTGTTCAGAGTGGCAAGAATGATGCAAGGGCCAGATAGAAGGGGGAGGGAGGAAAGGAGAATGCATGCCAGGGCTAGGCCCTTCTCCTTGGATTCTCTGCCCACCATTCGCCAGCCATAAGGGGAGAGAGCAAGCTGATTAGCCCTTGCACTCCCCACTCAACAATGATTTAAACCCCTCCTGGGCTTTCAGAGGGGTCTCCTGCCCCTTTAACTACTTGTAAACTGCCAGCAATGCTATCAGGGAGAAACTGTGTGGGGAGTACAGGTCCCATGGCAACAGCAAGATTGAAGCTCTTCCCCATGCTGACAGCTGTCCACTGCTACATCTCTAAGAAATATCTCCTGTGAGGTCCACTACCAAGTCCACAGCAGTGATGCCTCTGGGGAACATTTCCTGGAATTGTCGATGTGCTAGATTGCATCTCAGTAACATCTCCTCAGCAGGCAAGAAAACCTCACAGATATTTCTGTAGTTTAGCAGGATTGGATTCCGACAGAGGGGGTGGATTTGCCTTGCATATAAATAACTTTTGGCAACAGGGACTAGAAATTGGGAAAGCCTGCAGTAATTCCCCCAACACCTTCTCTGCTCTCCTTCTAAATATATAAAATTGTTTGTAGTGGTTAATATTGCTTAATATTTTGTGGGGCGACCAGTTATTTTGGAAGTGTTCTGAGTAGCTACTGTGCATGCTGGGTAAGCTGAATAGTAACGAAGCCAGACTGAACTGGAAGTAGTAACTGGAGAACACTGGAGATTTTCTTGCAAAGGGCTGGAGGAAGTGGAGACTGTGGGCCAGATTTTTAAAAGTATCTATGCACCTAATTATACAGATAGAGGCCTAGTGGGATTTTGAAGTGTATTGGTGCCTACATGCCTTAGAAACTGCCCCTTTGTATCTTGTCTAAGTCACTCTTGAAAATGAGACTGAGACACTTAGGGCTAGATCCATAAAGGATTTAGGCACCTAACCACTTCAGGTGCCTAAGTCCGACAATTTACATTTTTGCTGGTGGGCACATATACAGCCACCTGAGTCCTGACACCGCTGAGCTGCTCAGTGAATAAGCCCCAGCGGGATCCTCAGGGTAGATGAGGGGATGACTCATCTGTGAGGCATGATTCGATACGTGTGCTCAGAGCCATCTACTGGATTGTGCCTTGCACAAAACAGTGGTGCCCTTTACCCCAGTGGTTAGAGCATGCATGCAGGACATGGGAAACAAGTTCAAATCCCCACTCTGTCTGATTTGGTGTAGAAGCTTCCACCCAGGTCTCCAATCTCCCAGGCAAACACATGGAACTATAGTGTATTCTGGGGTGGGGATCTCAGGCTTCTGCAAAGCTGTTATGGTTTGTATGAGCTACTTATTGGTAGCTACTTTATTGGTGCATGGGCTTCGATCCGACTTTCCCACATCCCAGGGGAGTCCCCTAACTGCTGAGCTATGGAGAGCTCTCTCTGGCCCAGTGGAACAGCTTCGACATGAGAGACTGAGACACCTACCCCAGAATACCCTCTAGCACAGTAGTTAGGGCATTCACCCGGGAGATCTAGATTCAAGTCCATGCTCCCAGTCAGGCAGAGTGTGATTTGAATCTGAGTCTCCCACATGCTAGAGCCTGGGCTGTGAGAATCCACCAGGAGGTGGGTCCCAGAACCCAGCCTGAGCCCCAGTGTCTACATCACAATTTTATCGCCCTGCAGCCAAAGCCCTGCAAGCTCAAGTCATCTAACCTGGGCCAGCCACAGGTGTTTTATTGCAGTGTAGACATACCCTGTGAATCCCATAGCTGGGCGTCAGTAGTATACCGCCCAATAGTACTCATCATCATATATTTTTGACAGGTTTCCACACCCTTTTTATGGTTTATGTCCCCCCCTCTTGGCCCATTTCTGGTCATGTACACATTTGGCACCAATGGCCATTTTGAATTTTTTTTCCTTTTTTTTTTGTATTGGGGAATGTTAGGGGTGCTTGTGTTTTGACATGTTTGTCTGGGTTTGGTGAGAAAAATTAAAGAAAAGAGAAATTAAGAAGAGTTTTAAAAAATAAAGAATAGAGTTGAGAAAAGCAAGAGAAGCTGTGTCACTTAGCACATGGCAATAAGAGGAGCACAGAGGATTTTAAAAATGCTTTAGAAAAAATAAGTATTATTTTGAAATAAATTAAATAAAAGCAAAAAGGGTTATTAAATAAGATGAAAAATAAAGAAAATGGTTTTAAAGAAATTAAAGAATACAGGGCAAAGAGATTTTAAAGGAGAGAAGCAGCAAACTTACCCAAGCAGATGTCCTTAGTGAAATGACAACTATCTGGGACAGCGAGCCTTAGGGGCAAACCACACCAGACCAATCAGAAGCTGTTCTACAGCTACATCATAGACTGTTTCAGGAAGAATGCAATCATATCATACCAAGATTTTAAATCAAGATCTACCTGCTCCTCTCTCCCTCCCCTCCTTTCTGTTTGAAGATGTAAGATAAACAGAAACAAACCCATTTTAAAAATTCTTTTGTTAACAGTGAAATAAAGGTGTTCTATTTCTCTCTCAAAAAAAATATACCTGCTTGCTTTTTAAAGTTTTGCCTATAGGAAAACTTCTGTAAAGAAATTATACAAAAACATGGGCTAATTGAAAAAAAAAAAAGCAGCGCATGCAAAAGAGTTAACACTTCTTACCAGAGACAAGGAGTCTGTTTTCCCCCACCATACACAGACTTTCTTCTTTCCTAATTTTTTTTTAAATCTAAACCAAGTACAAACAAACAAACTTTTGAAACATTAAAGGGAACAGGCAGGTAGATTTCTTTATTTAGTTTTGTTAAAGAAACTTGTGAAACTTATAACAAACTTCCTTATTTTATTTACTAGAAACTGACTTTAGCTTTGTAAAAGGGTGAATGTCATTTACAATAAAAATTTAAGAGGAATGAATAACTGCATGAAGGAGTAAGATAAATATCCCCCTCTCCTGTTATTTGAAGCTGTTAACTACTGCAACAAAATAGTGTTTATTAGGAATAAAGCTGTATAAAAATTTTAAAAGACAAGACATGTGACTGCATGAAGTTCAGCTATAGCCTCGCAGAAGAAACACCCATTCTTGACTTTTCGCCTTTTGCTAAACATGCAGTGTTTAATCATTTCAAAATAGTTTTTAAAAGTTTAACATGAAAATACAGCATTGAAATAGCTATAACATAACAAGGCCTCTTTTAGGGATGTTTCATATGCAGTGAGGCCTATTTGAAGTAGCAAGTTTTCTTAAAAGCGGCAGCGATAGCACAGGCTTAGAACCATAGAACCATAGACTATCAGGGTTGGAAGGGACCTCAGGA